GCTGTTATCGCTACTGAGCCTAATCTAAGGCTGCATCCTCGCTTTCGAATAAATGAGGCCCCACTAAAAAGTAGCAAAGTATTAGATGTGGAAGAGTATAGGGGAGCAGGCGGTCGTATGCTGTCGTACGCTCTCATCGATTGGCGTAAAGCAGGCAAAAACAGTATGGAAGAGCAATCTACAGCGAAGTCTCCTTCTTATTCCTCCAACGACTTGATGACGATATTATGTTTAGGGGCTCATGTTTTCGTATCATGTCCTAGCGTGTTGTGACGCCGGCAAAATCAAGCATAGAATTTGAAAAAAAAAAACACGAATCAAGCAGGAAGTAGAGAGTGAGAAAATAAATGGAAACAAGATGAACATGAAAATAATTCGAAAAAAAAGCACATCCCAAGTACTGCATACAAATGATTAGCCAGCGAAAGCTGAAACGTGTGGCTCCGGTGTTCAGCAGAGAGTTCAACCCGACACTGCATTTAAGCCTTTGACGATTCTTGTTAAATTTTCTTGCTTATACACACGATGGGCTTGAGTTTATCGGAGTGTTTATTTTACGTGCCACATTGTGTCTCACAGTGGTCGTTCTCAAACCACGGGTGGTCACAGACGTCGCAGCCGAAGTCAAGGTACCGCTGGAGAAACTCCTGACGAAAACGGGCGTTCCCCTCGGCGAACGCGCTCCCGCAATTATCATGTGAACGCTGTTGGGCCCGCAACGTGGCGTTCTCGCAAGCGTTTAACATTGCGAGCTAACTCGGTGGTGTGTTTCGCTAAACTCGGACCTTACGGTTCACAGAATCTGCCCGCCGCCTTCGTTTGAATGCCCTTTTTTGATTTAGCGCGGCTTGGAAGGCAGCCGGATCATAGTAACGCAGTTGCTGCCTGCACGCGACCTGTTTTTGTGGCCGGACTGCACTATCGGCGCGGCGAATGCAAGCTCTCTCACGTTTACACTGTCGGCGCTCTTCTGGAGTTGTCTGTGGCCTACCTACGAGCGACCTTTCAGTAGAAACTGAAGCGCTTTGCTGGACGCCATGGCTGCGACGATATGATCTAAGTCACTCAAAATGCAGCCTATAGCGCGCGCGCTTGGGTAGGACGCTCAGAACGACAGAATGACAGAGTGCATCGATTGCAGACCACTCGTGACACCGATGTTGAATGTTTTTTCATTTCTCTTGGCCAAATACAGCTTTAGCCGTAATATACAAAAGGAAAAGAAAAATAGCCTCTTCAGGCACAGCGTCCACATATGTGGACACAACTTGCTTATGACAGTTATTCAGACGAGTGTGAAAAGAAGGGCGCGACACATTGCCCCAAGATCAATTGATTCGTCTACATTGTCAACACGTCTTTTTTTAACCCGAATGTGTTGCGAAAATTTGAAGCTGATTATTTTAGTGAAATCCCTGTGATGTTTGGCGCGTCGCTCGACGTGCCACGTTCCAGGACCAACTTTATAAGTATTACTTTTCTTGCTCAAAACGAACGCAGCCAAATACTAACTGCACGTGCATTTTGGGCCTGAGATTTTCATTTTTATGAGTGAAAATCACACATGACTGACTGCGACATAATTAAATATTTAAATATATGCAAATTAAAAATAGTTAGCAAAGCTCGCCAAGGAAAACCTACTTCCTAGTTTTCTTAAGTGGAATGTAATATAGAGCCTCTTAGAATGTTGTGCAAAATTTAGACAATTACGGACAGTTCATCGTAATTTACGCTTGAAGGGGATAGAAAAACAATTGACAGATCCCATGTACAGTGGGTATCAATAATATGCAAAGCACAAATGAGGAAGGTTGGTATGTCACTCTTAAATAAGCCTAATGTTATGAGGTGGAGGTAAATGATGCCGTACATAACTTACGTGTCATGATTATCATTTTTGGATGTGTCGTTTACCTTCGTCAACTATTCACGCCACGTGATACCATATTTAGTATATGTGGAGCTAGAGAAGCAGCCGTGAACACGCTATGAGCGTGGTATGTCGTCGTTTTCTTAAATGACGCGCTTATCAGCATTATCAAGTTTGCACCAGTCATATACTTTCGTCATCCATTGACGTCACGTCACACCAAAATTGGTATATGTGGAGCTAGCAAAATGGCCACAAGCGCATAATGAAGGACCCAATGTACTCCAATGTATCGTTGACGCGCGCGCACGCTGGGCGCAGCGACGCTACGCTAGCAAAACGCGAGCCCTCTATAGTATGACGAGAGGCGCGACCGGTGCGACCAGCGTCATCGGCGCGGCCCGACGGCCACTCGCGCGAATGGCGACGCGCTGCGTTTCACGCCGGGGCGTTACCCAGAAAACACTGCGTCTCCCTCTTTTCATGACGGAGAGATGCCGGACGAGCTGAAACGCGCATGCGTCAAAGCAACACAGCGCGGCGCGCGCCTGCGAGTATATGGCAAGACTGGCGCCTGGAGAGGCAACGCCGGCGTGACGCGACGAGATGAACGTCGGCAAGCACGTGCACCGCGTCACGTCGAAATGTATTCACACCTTGACTGCGGCATGTAGTCATGTTCTCATATGATTGTCATGTCTGCACCAGTCACATACCTTCGTCATTCATTGACGTCACACACTACAAAATTTGGCATATGCGAAGCTCGCAAATCGGACGCGAGCGCATCATGAGTGTGGCATGTAGTCATGTTGTTACATCTCTAGCATGTCATGATTATTATGTTTGGATGTAGCATTTACCTATGTCGACCATTCGCGTCACGTAATACCGAGTTTGGGGCATCTACAGCAACCGAAACGGCCACTAGCGCATCATGAGCGTAGCATGTAGTCATGTTGATACATGTCACGCATCTCAAGTTTATCCTACTTGCACAGCATCATACCTTCGTCATCCATTCACGTCCCGTACTACCAAATATGGTATAAGTGAAGCCAGTGAAACGGCCGCCAGTGCATCATGAGCGTGGCATGTAGTCATGCTGTTACATCACCCGCATGTCATGATTATCATGTTTGGATGTGGCATTTATCTATGTCGACCATTCGCGTCGCGTAATACCGAATTTGGTGCATCTACAGCAACCGAAACGGCCACGAGCACATCATGAGCGTAGCATGCAGTCATGTTGATACGTGTCACGCATCTCATGTTTATCATACTTGCACAGCATCATACCTTCGTCATCCATTCACGTCCCGTACTACCAAATATGGTATAAGTGAAGCCAGTGAAACGGCAGCCAGTGCATCATGAGCGTGGCATGTAGTCATGTTGTTACATGTCATGCATCTCACGATTTTCATGTTAGGGTTGGTCACTTGTGTTCGGCACGCACTCATGTCGTACCATACCAGTTTCGCACATGTCATGGGAACTAAACCACCGCAAGAGCTGCAGGATCATGAAATGTAAATCATGACATTCCTGAAATACATGTCATGATTTTCATGGTATTATTAGTCAAATATGTTCTTCATACAGTCATGTTGTGCCTTAGCAAGTTCGGTATCGATAGCAATATTGAAACGGCCAGGAGAGCTAAAAGTCGTAAGTGGGGCTAGAGATAGATAGATAGATAGATAGATAGATAGATAGATAGATAGATAGATAGATAGATAGATAGATAGATAGATAGATAGATAGATAGATAGATACGCTCAAAGTCGCTGAAGTTCGCTAAGAAATGCTTCGCATTTAAAACAAAGATGGGCAAAGAAGGAGGAGGCCGAATAGAAACACAGAAAGACGCCCAGATCCACACTTATTTGAGGCTTTGCACCACCAGTGCGAAAATTTCGTTCTTTTTAAATTTTATCACGTTGATCAATATGATATCACAGAGCTATAGGTACTACTTTGCCAAGAAACCTAAGGGCTACGGAGACACAGAGAGTTTAAATGTCTCTGCACGGTATTACGGATGCCAACGCAAGCATCCTGAAGCCCACAAAAAGGATCTCACATACCTCACAATGGCGTTCTATAGAAGCACTTCAGGAAACCACTGGTGTCGCATTGCTTTCCGGTTTGTTACTGAAATATGATTGTGCTTAGCACTTCTCTTTATCATAGATGCATGCGTCTCATGATTCCGATAGCGTGATCACCATTAGGAATAGGAGTGAATATGCATACTGCTTGGTGGAAGGTATGATGTGATCAAGTTAGCATACAGTATGGGTATGCTTTGCAGTGTTTGAGTGAAACTAAAATTCCAGATGTTTCAATTGAAGGGCTCCTTTTTCTTCCTTAGATCTAATATTAATGAGGGCTAGCAGGCAATGATGCCTTTAAATGTCATGGACGTTTATTAGAAGTAATTGTAATGTTAGTCGGAAGAAAAGGCAGCAAAAAGTATAAATTGCCTCCTTCAAGGATGGTACCTGTGACCCTCAAATAATTGGAGGCGTTATTTGAGGGTCGCATGTTCGGTCTCAGCCATGGGCAAATTATTCTTTTGTCTACTTGTGTATGTCTCTTTTGCTGCGAAAGTTCCAGAGGCGTGATTGGCAGAAAACTTGCAGTAATATTATTGATATTCGGACACCTTACACAAACATCATTGCCGAAAATCAAGACAAAATCTGGCATTACATGGAGAAACATATTCACAGAATACAGTATCCGACGAGCATTTTTTTCTCGGAAGTATTCTAACAAATAATTGCTTTCAATGTCACAAGTCAGCAACATTTGTTAGAGTGCATCTGCGATGATCGCCAATATGTGTAGGACGTTTGGCATGCAATGACGCTAATTCATATTGATGACAACACTGAACCATATGAGTACTTCTAGGGAATGGAAATGTCAATGTTAGATATGAAACTTTTGTAAATGAAACTTTCGTAAAGTGCTCGTGGCATTTGATGCAAGAAAGCCTGATGCGTACCTACAAAGGTTTGAGGCAATTGCTAGGAGCCAGAGTTGGCCGGAGCATCGATCGACAACTGCTTTGACTTGAAAGGTTCAATTCTTTTGTGATTTCTGTTCTTTACAGGAACCTTGGGATGAACCCTTGAAAACCATAGTCACCAGAGATGAACCAGTGGAGAAAAACGACGGGCCAACGGATGCCGCAAGCCCAGCTAAGGCCGTGCCACCCACAGGTCCTGACGGCGGCCTCAGCTGGTTCATTGCTGCCCTCTGCTTCCTCATCAACATGCTGTTCTCCTCGTTCATGCGCTGCGGCGGACTCTTTTTCACCTCCTTGATGAGCACGTACGGCTCTACCCGCGGATACGCATCTCTCCCGTTGAGCATGTACGGCGGATTCGTCAACTTATCTGGTGAGACGGTGTGCTGATCACTGCTCGTGACTGTTTAAGTGTAATATTGTCTCTTGTATTCTCCATAAAAATGAGGCTATAACTTCTGGGAAAAGAAAAGTATGCAGGCAAAACGAAATCTGGCAATCCTGTCTCTCACGATAACACTGGTTAGTATAGTTCGAAGAAAGAAAAATGGCCCAAATCTACATGTTACACTGTAAATGTCGTCGAAAGACGATAGTCTTGCACCTGGAGAGAGTGAACAAAACGTTTATTTGATATTCTGTGCAAGAAAATCGGTGAAAGGTATTGTGAAGGCGCTGCGTTAGAGTGCCTCGAGTGTGTAGCAGAGGAGAACAAGCGCATCTAGGCACGTTAGACACGAGCGCCATCTGGCAGTTATCTTCGAAAACGAAATCGTGCGCGACCGCCCAGAAAGATGCGTGCCAGTCTCGGAGGTGATAAGGTGTAGAACGCAATGCGACGGGCAGGTGCCACTACCGTGACGTCGTAGCAAAGCGTCGGAAACTCCTTTTTGAGCATCGCGTTGCACTGTCAGCGGAGCGCAACTAAACGCTACATTTCTTAGTGTTACTTGTGTGTGCCTCTTCTAGTATAAAGGCAGATATAAAAAACATCGAAGCGTTGTTGTGGCGCCTCAGATATGTGCAATAATTGCTTTTAAATTGACAATCGCACAACTATGAACGCTAAACCTTGAGCAATATTGGTGGGCGCAGCGGATGGGGTTGGCCGTCTGGTGCCGTTTGAGGTATCGTTAGGGTAGACAAACAAACAAATGTACAGACAGACAGACTGACAGACAGACAGACAGACAGACAGACAGACAGACAGACAGACAGACAGATCAAAACGTTTCCGTCGAAGGTCCCTAAGAAAAACTATCGTCTTTAAAAAAACGGGCACTTAAGTCTTGTGTAGCTATTGCCGAGTGGCAGTAGCTATATTATTTCTATCTCTGCATCTCGCTTGGATACCTGTCGTGCTTTTTAACAAGTGAACCAAATATACAATGTCATTTAGGATCAACACAGTGTCATAGAGGTTAAGCTAGTTTTGGGAACTCTTTAAACAAAATTGTACATATCCCTGAATATAGTCAACAGTAACCCAAACTTTTATTGCCGCTACGTCAAGAGAGAGGTCGTAGCGGGAGAGCAGCAGGTCGGTTTTTTTAATACCGCACGCAAGCACGTAGTTCTCTTTCCTTCTTTTTTTTTTCTGGTAGTGTTTACGATAACCTCTACATTACGTTACAGTGGGACAAAAACCAGGTGGCGGCATGTTTAGTGTCAAGACCTACAAAACTGAACAAAAACACAAAGCGTAAAAAAATTCAGTCTGCAAATAAAAATAAATTATCCAAACAAATGAACTGCTTGAGAAGCAAGCTGTGATATTATACCTTCTGTATAAACTATATGCGTATTCGTGTTCAAATTTGTGATGAAGTATAAACGCGGCGTTATCTATTCTGCGAGTTTAATACGATAGGTTGTATTTTAAAGGTAAAGTGGAAATTACTAACTTATAAAAGCCAAGAAACGACAAAAGACGTCGAAGAGGAGCGCAAATGAATGGTGGATGTCAAGGCGATATGCTTATGATATCTTTTTTCTTCATTACTCATTCCATGAAGCTTTGTTGATTCTATTCAAGATTCCATAAAAATATAGTGAAGGCTACTAATATGCTCGTTTCCCTTAAACATTTTCTCTTTTCTTATATATTTTTAAACTAAATCCCAATGCTGCACGATTTATGGCGTTTCCCTCGAGATAGGTGGAATCACTCCTCTAGTCTCGAACCAACCAACCAGCCAATCTCAAGGCAAGCGAAAGTTAGGGTCTCGTGACTACTACTAACACGACCTCTTACTTGCTTGGCTGGTTCGTCCTGAGTTCGTTATAGCAGAGAGCACAAAATAAAACTTGACTTACGTGAAAGACCACCTCATCCAGACCAGTGAGCTCTGCTATGACAAGCATTTCACACTCAGAACACCAAGGTGTACTCTATTTATTAGTGAAAGTTGACAAATCAGAGCGCTTACTATACTTTTAGCACCACGGCTTACTATATGCGTATTATACTTTGGTGTTCCGATTGATATCCACGCGAAATGAAATTTCAGGGATGCATAGATTTTAACGTGATGCCCGTCATGGAAGTAGAATTACAAGTGCACATTCGTTGTCTAGTTTTAAACAAACCACTCATTCGTATATACAAGCCGAAAGCTTCGGTTTTGAGCCACATTCGGGGAACGGAAAATATTGTGGACGTTTGAGCTTCAAGAGCAGAACTATCTGAGAATACTGCAGGTACAGTTGGGAAATTGTTTCTGCGCCGTTATTTTTCTCTTTGAAAACCTTAGAAGAAACCACAACGCATCCATGAGGTGCAACGCACACGTGCACACTTTGTGATAAATTGATATGGGTTATCAACCTACTAGTTGCTCAATTCACATATTTTTACTTCTAGCGATATCCTTTCAATCTGCCAAGCTATGTTACATGTTTTAAAAAGACCTGCATGACATTCATATTGGCGTTTTGTTTTCTTCTATGGAGGTGTTACAGTTACTGGCACGGCTCTGCGGTGGATGCCAGCTGGCCACGCAGAAGCGTGTTGAATTCTCACTGGGCCCAAAAATGTTCGCATCATTCATTAATTTGAATGTACGTCGCAAATATGATCACTGTAACATGTTTTTTTTCGCTAACAATAGATCACACCGACACCGGAACTTGTGTGAAACGAGCTCTTGGCTGCTATCGCATTGATATATGGAAACGACTTGCGCTGTGCTGCTTCGCCGTTTGCACTGTTTTGCAAGCATCGTCAGTGCCAGAAATAGTGAGAGTGGCCCTCTCCCAGTGATGTCATGTGGGACGTTTTTTGTTCAGTTAGCCGGGATTGAAAGTTGCGGTAGTGCACACGATGTGAAAACGCACCAACAAAGCGTCGAGCAAGCATCGCTGCCAGAAAATACGGTGCAGGGAACATTGAAGGGAAAACTTAATGTACCGTTTCGATACGAGTAATACAGATAAAATTATTATTTAGATATTTGAGCATTGTGGAAATAAGCTACGATCGCCCTCTTGCAGAAAGCTGTCAAATATGAAGCTAAGATGTTCCCATGATGTTCCCAATATAAGATGTTCCCAAGGGCATCGGCTCGCGCAGTGTGCCCGATTGAGCGAAGGAGGAGGGTCTCCTCATCTCTTCTCTTTCATGCCACCTCTGTGAGAATGTCTATGCCCATGGCAGCTTCAACACTGCCGCTTCAAACAATAAACGAAGGGAACAGCCATGCAGGCACTCGTGAGCTCAGTTCTTTCTCTTGTTGGCCAAGTCATGTTTGTTATCACTTTGTATCTGAGCGAAAGTGCACATTTACAGTGTATTCAGCAGCGCAAAAGCTGGAAATGTACACCTGCTATCGACCTTTGTACTAGCCTGTCGTAGAAATACTTAACAGATGCTGCTGCTCTTGCGCTCTGCTCTGGAATGTGTCACGGTTTCATCGGTAATACTTGTAGAAAAGATTCCGACACATGATGAAGGTTGCCTAATTAAAGCTGGAATATGATCGGTATTAGTGGCTACGCTAGAGTTTGTGGTAGTTCTCTGCAGTGTTCTGTGGCTACTAGTAGCACTACAGGACGGCTGACTTTACTGTCGCAGGTCTCCTGGCCGGACCGCTCATCCACTGGTTTGGCGTACGCACGGCCGCCGTCTTCGGCGGCCTCATGATGGCGATGGGATTTATGAGTTCGTATTTCGCCACCGGCATACCTTTTCTTGTCGGCTCTTTGGGAGTCCTCGCTGGTAAGAACGCAGGGAATCGCGATTTTATTTGTGTAGTACATGTGCCGTTCCTTCTCTGACAGGTTGTGACGTCATGCAATACTGAGCAATTTGGAATCACAACTAGTTGTTGGACTGGTATGGTATGTTAGATTTTATTCGTGGTGCTTCTAATAATTTAATGACACACACGCACATGTAATTCATCGCAGGAATCTCGCCGGTCATCGGGTCAAATTCAGGCAAAGGAGGGCACATTCACTATGAAGACGAAAATGCTCGAAGCCCGTGTATTCACAATAGGGTGCACGTTAAAAGTCCTTTGTGGTAGAAATGTCCGAAGCCATTCATTACGTCGTCTCTCATAATCATGTTGTTCTGGAATGTCAAACTCTAGCAATTAATATTGCTCAAAATCTGCTTTCACAGCAGCTAAATAATCGCGTATTTTGGCTATAGTTACATTCGAAAAACACATCTACGAAAAAGAATTTTATGGTCGACACTATTTATCGCACAGTTTTGCATCAGCAGACGTAAAGAGAAAATGAAAACGTTGTTTATTCCTTTGTCGTAGGAATCTCTATCACGAAAGTAGTTCATGCATTCATAAGAGTAGAGTTCAATTTTTGTGTAGCATTGGTGTGTGCGAGCTTGCGCTCTGCTCGCTTGTGTTGGAAAGCAATAGCACAGCGTGATCTGTATGCCCCCACGTTGACGCGCACATTCATCCTTACGGAAAACGTCTATGATAACGATTTAACCCTGTTGGGGCTGAACTAACACGCGCCGTGCGGTGGCACGGTCCTCGATTGGCACTCATTACGGCCAGTGGATGTGTTGTTCACCAAGCGGTCGTGCTCATTGAAACCGTCGTCATTTGAGCAGAAGAATGCCATGAAAGGCGCTCCCTATAAATACGGCAGCCTAGGCCTGTGCTCATAAATATAACCATGGACTCCGCGGCAACGCACAGTTTTCAGGGCTGACCCGTTCGCGCGTTTCAAAGACAAAAAAAAATTGTGGCCTTCTCAGTGCCTCAATACACCAAGAGGTGGCGGCGTTAGCCTTCGAATTTTGCATAGCATCCACCCATATGAAAAATATCTCTGCGTCACTCGCACGTTTCGTATAGCACGTTAATCAAACATTAGCAAAAGTACAGTGAGCACAATCGCGTCATCACCCTTGACAGGCCCGCCCATCTGTTATGGCAGCATTGCGCGATCCGCTGACCACGCGAATAGTCGCGTATTTTATAGTTCTGTTAGTCGAAACGAACCAAAGTGAAAATAACTATTGGGAAGTAAAATCGAAGTGACCGAGAGTGTTCGGCACACCCACGCCAGCCGCTGTTATCACCATTTCAGAACAAGAACACAAGCAAAAGATATTAGGCGTTGCTGCCAAACAAAATATGTGCGCTTGTCAGTGGCGATCATTGAACACCCGCTCGAAGTTTTTCTGATGCTTGATCTACGCGCTACGCTGTTCGTGTTTCATTTGATGCCGATACTACAGCAGTATGCTTCTAGCCGCGAAGGCCATCTTCATACCTGACAACAATCTGTTCAATCTCTCCTGCAGGGTCCGGTCATGGAATACTATTCAGCTGCGTCATAGTTGCCATCAACGAGTACTTCGACAAACGGCGTGGCGTTGCCTTGGGCATCAACCTGACCGGTGCTACGGCAGCATCTTTCTTGTTCGCGCACATATTCGACCTCCTACTCTCAAAGTACGGCCTCCACGCAACACTGGCTATTACAGGAGCTCTCCTACTTAACATAGCAGCACTTGGCTTTCTTTTCCGAAAACCGCCTTGGCAAGAATCACCGTCAAGAAGCGCCAAAGTCATTGCAGATCACGCACAGAAATATTGCAGTCAGCCAACGCCATGCTCTTCCGAGAAAAAAACTGAAGATGGAAGGCCGTCTGTTATCCTAAGGCCAAGCGGAGCACTAGTAATGGGGCCGAATAATGAGTCATCAGTTAGAAGGAGACCAAGCATAACGAGTGAACCAGAAGGCTTACCACAAGAAGACCACAACGCCGAAGACGTTCTTGACGACACAGCTGGCGAAGATGAATTGAACCTTGCGTGGTCAAGGAGGGGCACACTTTTGAGCGTCGCTGGGTCTTTGCTTGAAGAGGAAAAGGCCTTGTGTTCTTCGAGGCGAGGAACAGTCATTAGCCTACCACGAAAGGGCTCGACCATTGGTGACCTCGATCTTCGAAAGCTTGCGCTGCTTCAAGAGGCGGCCGAACGCCTAAGCGCTACGAAATCCACAGAAGCCGTTTTTGAAGAAAACGCAGCATTCCTCGGCATTGCGCAAGTCGCAGAGCTGAGGTCCAGGACTATAAGCGAGCAGAGTTTCACGAGGCCGAATGATTTTGGCAACCAAACCAGCGCTTCTATGCGAAGCACAGTCAGTAACTTGGGATCTCGATGCACGATTGAAGTGCCCTGCAAACCGGAAGAGCCTATCCGTATCCTAATTCAACAAGAGCCCGAACACTCATCCGATTCGGCCCTCGACAGCGTAAAGGAAGTTCTGCGACTGCCCCGATTCTACTGTCACATGCTCAGCTACTTCTCATACTCTTTTCTCCTGGACACTGTCCTCGCGGTCACAGTGGACTACGCTGTCGACATCGGTATTGACAGTTCGAGTGCAGTGTTAGTGCTTACCTTCTTCTCGGTGACAGACACCATCGGGCGACTTTTTGTGCCCCTGCTGACGGACTTCAAAGTTGTGTCGCCGCTAAGCCTTATGTGTATAGCGTACCTGACAATCGCAGCCATTGCGCTCGTGACGCCGTGCGCCCATGAGGTCGGGCCATTCTGGGCGGCCATGATTGCGCTGGGATTACCCGCAGGGTACATACTGGTGGCTATCTCCGAAGCCGTTGCCGTCGAAGTTGGCCTTCGAAATTTACCTATCGCCTTCGGCATCCTTTCGGGGTTGACTGCGGTCGGATCTTTCTTGAGACCAGCAATCATAGGTGAGTTTTCACAAGAAGAGAAACGGTCGAAGTATGTATAGATGCACTTGAAGGACCAGTTCACGAAATGCAATTATTTCCTTTTGTTATTTTTATAGTAGATATATCGAGCTTAACGTCCCGAAATCACCATATGATTATGAGAAACGCCGCAGTAGAGGGCCCCGGAAATTTCAACCACCTGATTTTTTTTAACCTGCTCCCAATTCTGAGCACACGGGCCTACAGTATTTTCAACTCCATTGAAAATGCAGCCGCAACAGCCGGTATTGATCCCACGAGCTGCGGGTCGGCCGCGGAGTTCATTAGTCACTACACCACCACGGCGCGGGGCTTTTTATATTCATGAACGACTTGAACAACACAACACTTTGTGAATGTTAAGAACCAGACGATGACTTTAATGGGCTAAACAGCCGGTAAACGACAAAATGCGTGTAGAGATACAATGCCGAATGCCAGTGAAAATACTGAGTAATAGAGCTATTTATAAGCACCCATTCATAAAATAAATATTGCGGGGCCAACCCAACCGCATGTAAAAAGGCTACAGCAAAGGTAGTAGAATTCCTGCAATTTTTCGCGTCCAAATGACTAATGCAGAGAAAAGGCAGTATAGGTTATCGTTATCATTTCCTGATCTCACCGGCCATAGCTGCTTGCACGGAGTCGTACACTCGAACAGCTATCGCGCGAAAACACTCAAACTGTAGAGGGCACTTTTGCTGATAAGTGCTTTACCCAACAGTGTGGTGGGGTGCCTATTTGCTGAGTAGTAAAAAAAAATTCGGCTCAAAAGGCACATATTTTGTATTAGCTTGTTCTATACGAAAAAGAGTGGCCTAACATACGCTTTAGGTGTCTTCGAGCCCGCAGCAAGTGTAAAAATTTCCTGGCCACTGCATTTTAAGGAATTGCAGGGCCATTACCCAAATACACCCGTAATTGACAGAGGTTTGATTTCTTATATGACACATACTTGTAAGCCACCCAACGGTTGTGCAATAAGAAAAAAATTGCGATTTGCTCATATTTAAATACGGAAACTGTGGTGGCCTTGGCTGCAGCTTCACCTTATAGGGCTTGTATACGTCTGTGAATACTCACCTTTTACAGTTTTATACAAAATGTAAACGTCTCTACAAAGCATGTCGGGTATGCAATAGGCATAGAATAAAATTTATTTAAATAATACACAAGAAGGACAAGGTCCTATTATCATAAGAAAATTTAGTACGACCTTCAGGGGTTTACGTGCCAAAACTATTAGATGATTATCAGGCAAGCCGATATGGCGTGCTCGGGAATTTCCGACCGCCTAGGGTTCCTTGACGCGTACCTAAGTCTAAGCACACCAACCTTTCACATTTTCATTTTCATTGAATCCGCGACCTTCAGCCAATTTATGGCTGAAGCCATTTATGAATGCCAATTATGCCATTTCTGAATACGAAAATAGAAAACGTGCCATACTCTATAGAGGAGTGTTTTATATATGGCATACTCTACGGGCGCGTACACTGTATTTATACACTTCTTTTGAGCTACCATATTCTTAGCTTCAGAAAATATCTTTCACATGATGTGAGTTTTTTTTTATTTTTTTTAGTGATTTAACCATATATCATCCCCGTCACACGGGTCGGCAATTGTGGTTTTCAGCGAGTCCACATCAGCATTTATGGCCCTCGCATTGTGTCAAATGGGGAAGGTTTTTGACGCTGTTTGCAGGGGAAAAAAAGGCTCCAGTGTGTTAGATGAGCTCACATCGCAGGGTCGAAGTGTGTAGCCCCTGTAGCTATGACTATGAATAAAGTAATAGTTAAAACAATTATTGGTAACTACAAAATTCAAGCATTGTTTTTATTATTCCGAATTAGGGTTTGCCGTAAAATATACTGCAAAAATAATGGACTCTTTTTGTTTTCAGACTGTTAGCGGTCATGGTCTCGAGTGTTTTGGCCTTATGTTTCATGCCATGTAATAAGAGTGGTAATCGTGCTCGAACAGCTGTTGTTATAACATGAACGTAATTTATTTTTATTTAGGGCATAGAATCATGGCTGCTATATCCCACCTCAGTTAAGAACGCACCATTAAAGTGATAAATGAATATCGTGCTCACTCATTTATAAGCCGCTATCGCTATAAGTTTCACTCAATACTTTTCACAACAGCCCGGAGGTCGTTGACCACACTTCAACAGTTTGATTCCACAGATGCGACAGTCAGGGGCATTTCCGCACACATACATGTAGTTTATACAAACAGCAAGGCCCTATGTAAAATGATTAAGGATATAGTTAATGTGGAATTACGTGTACACGCCTTATCAAAAGATTTTGAATTGGTGGAGCTGCTGGGTGCTCCTGGTCTTCATCCTGGAACTGCGTAGCCGGGCACTACCGTGACCTGCCATGGTGGCTGATACGGGTTGATGTCGCGGCTCTCCCAACGCCGCAGCTCCACCAATTAAAACAATGGTGTGTTACAGGCAGGAGTCGCGACAGCTGAACAGCGGTTGTACTACCACAAAGGCTAACTAGCAGCACGTTCGTCTTTCTCTTCCCTCTTGGTCAAGCCGCACGTCCGCTACCTTCATTATACAAAATTCAAGCATTGTACTCAAATTAAGGTGCCATTCACAATTGACCAAAAAAGCAGGTAAAGCGAGTACTGCCACATCAGAAGAAAACAGGGATATGCATAGGGAGAAAAAGTCAGTCCCAACACGTGTAAAGGTACAGAGAGTTTATTTGTTTACCTAAGCTGCGCTCAACAGACAGACAGACAGACAGACAGACAGACAGACAGACAGACAGACAGACAGACAGACAGACAGACAGGCAGGCAGGCAGGCAGGCAGGCAGGCAGGCAGGCAGGCAGGCAGGCAGGCAGGCAGAATTTTATTGAGGTTCTAAGGGGCACTACCTCAAGGCAGTAGAGCAGCGGGCTTCTACCACGTCGGAGTGGGTAGACCGAGCCTCATCGCAGCGTAATGGGCCCTCTAGACAGCCCTGAGTTGTAGTACAAGTTCTAGGCTCCTGAGCACAAAGTTCCACTCTACTTCGGTCATGCGCTGAGAACTCTGTAATCAGGGGCACATCCAGAGCAAGTGGTCTGACGTAGATGCGGTGCCGCAATCTGGTCATGCTGATCAACGCCTTCAATGAACTGGCTTTGTGAGTGTGCTCAATAGCTTTAAAAAATAAAAGCTGATTGATCGATTCTTGCATAGATAGTTTCCGTTGGCCATCTTAATAATTATGATGTATTTAAAGCTTAACTTTCGCAGCTTAATCCTGTATTTATGTACCGATCCCATAGTGAGTTGTGATAAGCGGTACGTGTTCGCGGCTTGCAGACTGATCTGGCTAGAACAGTGTGTAAAATAACCTATACGCCAAGTAAGTATTCGTGCTCAAACAAACTCTAGTGCTGTTCTTTTTTATCAGTTTGCCGTGCTTGCAGAGATAGATGGGCGTTATTTGCTGATACGAAAACGGCGTTGATGCCAGGTCTCTGCGTAGATTCGTCCCATCTCTCTGCAATATCGATAGGTGTGATACAATGATAGGGCAATACTTCAACAAAAGTACAGTCATCAGCAAGATTAGCAATAATGATTGTTTGCAGCGTGTCCAGAAACAGTTTGATTGATGCTAGCACCACGTAGCTTTGGGCTCTGTTGCCAAGATGTAACCATTGTGTGCCCGCCCGGCCTGTAGCCAGAATCTTTTTTCGAGGGGAAGAGGGGGGGCACCTGTTGAAGGCTTTGAGAATGACTTATTTTGATTATTTGGTCTCGGTAAAACACCCCACTCTATCCGAATTCGGGGGGAATCCCGGGCTTCTAGACCTCTCCCTCGTCCCACCCCACTGACTATGGCCTGATGCCGACATACTATTCGAGCATAGCGAGGTATTATAGCGGCAACAGGGCCCAGTGCTTCGCGCTGCGTATCGCTCTAACCAGTCCAGGTCATGTGTCGGAGCGTTCCTGTTAGGCCGCGTTCACACTGAGCATTCCGGCCGCCGAAAGTGCTCCGAATCCGGTTCGGTGGCGGCGAGATCCGCCGAAAGGGCCCTCTCCGCGCCGATCGCTCTCGGACCGATTTTTGCGGCGTCTGCCGCCGAATCGGTCACCGCGGACCAATAGGAGCGCTAGTCAAGGAATTTTGAAAAATGGCGGCCAAGCCCTACTCACTTGGTATGCTGCAGTGCGCGTAACTGAATGTTGAAACCAACGGGAGTTTAACCTACTCTGTGCCTACTTCGCCTCCGTATTTCTTGAAAGAGGTGACCGAGCTTGCTGTTGGCGTGACCGAGCTTGTTGCGGTCTTGCAGAGAAAAACGAACCCACCAATGCCGCTGGCGTCGGTGGTTTTTCTGCTCTTCGTGCATTACAAGACAGCCACTTGCCAGCAAAGTAAGCAGCACTGTCTTTTTTTGCTTCTTGCGTACGAGAATCGTCGAAGTATACACCACCGGATAGCGTAGTAGCGTTTGCGAGCCGCGACAACAACCGGGTGACAGCGCATCCATCCCGCGTTCGCCCCGTAGTAGATGGCATATTCAGCGGCACGGGGCGCGTCCAGTGCGAACGACGCTGTGTTTCGGCGGCAGGGGAATTTCGGTCGCTGTAGAAAGCGGATGTTTCAGAGTGAACTAGGCATTAAAGTTGCTCACGAATTCGCGTCCGATGAATTTTTCCGCCTGCGTAGTTTCGGCATGATTCAGTGTCCATGAAGTTGGGCTTAAGCTAGGGTGAATGACTTCGCGCACCAGCAATCAACATTCTGGCTGTTTTTCTTGCACTCGATAGTACACCGACGTTCTGGCTGTTTTTCTTGCACTCGATAGTACACCGAAGTGCGTGCAGCCACTGCGGATATCTGAAATCGCAGCGCGTTCGTCACAGCTTAAATTACTGTCTCACTATTTTCAACGCTAAATTGATTGATTAATATGTGGGGTTCAATGTCCCAAAACCACCATATGATTACGAGAGACGCCGTAGTGGAGGGCTCCGGAAATTTCGACCACCTCTTTAACGTGCACCTAAATCTGAGCACACGGGCCTACATATTTTCAACGCTAATGGTAAGTGGTTTTACAAGAAAAAAAATAGTATTTTATGCATCCCCTTTGAAGGTGTAGCCATAGTCTTGAGTGATTCTCACATATGTGTCAATCTTACAACAGCGCTCAGCCGCAGATGCGCTTGAGCGATAGCGCGAAATGTGCCCGTACTATATACATGCTGACGTAACCCGCTACAGTCAACATGACGACGAGGAAAAAACTGGGACAGAGATACTATAAGAAGTGTTAGGGTATTGGTAAAAGCCACTGTTTACTTTTGCGCTGTCGATCTCTCAGCCACCATTGGGAGTTCATGAACAAGTATGGGTCCCAATAAGCATATATTCTTCATGATTGTTTGTTACCAGCTTATTCTTTAGGGTTGAACACAATAATTTAATTTGTATCAGAACTAGTGATACAATCTTTTTTGAACTCACTATTAATAGCTAACATGCTTGCTTGGGCGAGTTTATGTGAATCACTATTAATACTGCTATTCTTGAACCATGTGCTTGATCTATTACGAACGCTTGTTTTTGATGCTTCAGCTTTCTTTTTCACAGCAAAAACGTTATATTAAGACAAACTGAAGCCTTCAACAATAAGCAACATATTTAGAAAAAGAAACATTTTGTAACCTCTCGAAGTATGCGCTAAAAACGTGCATGGTGGCGAACGTACATATGGGAATAACAATTCATCACACTGAAAAAAAAAAAACTTGAAAGTAGCGTTGCATTCACCATCGCCGAGATGTTTCATTAAAGCGCTGAGGTCGGCAACATCATATCGTGTACTGAAGGCAGTGGATGCTGTCGGTGCTAGAGCATGTATGAGAGCTTAGAGCAGAGGCAACGGGTAATAGTTTGATGAACAAGCTCACTGCCGGAGACAGAGGTAGCGGTAGAATTTGTCTGAGGGATGGAGCTGCCGTAGCGGGCAGAAATTGAGGTGACTTCATTGTAGCTCCGGGTGGGGAGAATGCAGGCATACCTATTCGTCATAAGTCAGTTAAACTGAAAGACTGCGTACTCAGCCAAAGTGCCCCCTGCGTGACTGAACCGTCTGGCCACCAGCAAGCTTGAAAACTACGCTCCAGAAATGCTGCCCCTATATCTGTTTCTACGTATTCCACTGCGCAAGTTGAGTGCGATTTTAGCAAAGACACAGATTGATTCGTCTTCCAAAAGGAAATAAGCAAAAAAAGACATTTTTTTGCAAACTTGAAAAGGGGCATCTCTTTTCTTCGGGTTCATGTTTTGTATCTCATTCACTTTAAGGCTCTAGAAGTATGAAATCTTGTTTTCATATTGTGTACACTGAGACGAAAGAAGAAATATTTTTGCGGGCATTGCTTTGGAAGTTCCGCAGTACCACGACTTTCTGTTGTTCAAATTATCTTTTCGCAATTTTTTTTGTGGCTACCATCCCGATGCTCGAGGCATTCATCGCACCGTTTGTACAGGCATTTAAGACGGGGAAACTATGCATTTGCAGACGAGAACACCGAGCAAACTAGTACCATTCGGTAGGAAAGAGCGAAGAACAAACTGGAAGGATAGACGCAGTTTTGCGTTTCCTGGGAGACAACGAAAGTACACCATGAATAGAAACGTGAATCCCGAAAACAAAGCTCTCAGGTAGCAACGTAAACGTCACCTGCACGCAGCGAATGAGGCAGAAACAAGATAAGTAAGCGCGAACCACTCTTTCAGACGTGCCGTCACGCTGAGTACATTTGCTTTTGCCGACTGGTTTCTATGTCACTTAGGTGTCCTCGCCGTCACGTTTTCTTTTTCCCATTCCGCTCAGGTTTCTTCCGAGACAGCTACGGATCGTATGACGGCCTTTTTCGTTTGATGGGTTGCATGGTGCTGTGCTCTTTCCTGCTGACCGCCGCACTCTGGATACAGGACTGGCGGAAGACATCGACGCCAGCGACCGAAACATCCAAGGACGCCGTGGGTGACACTGACTCCCGTGCGCGTGCTGACTAGCCCTCTGAGGGCACCGTGATTGCGTGTGAATAAGGAAAAGAGCTTGCTCCCCCTGTTAATTACAAGTGCCTGCAGCCGCAGTGATGCAGGCCGGTAAGCGGAAGCAAAGGTGCCATCGAAATGCAAACAATTTATTTTGTGCCATTGAAATGCAAACACAATTTATTTCGTACTACATCCACGAGGCATGGTATTGTTCCTCTCAATCATAACGTATTAGAATTCACGGTTTAACGATGGCGGTAGAACGGCATATGTGCGAATAAAATGGTGGTTTTCTCATCTTCGCTTCCTCTTAAGGTACGCATACGTCGAAACAGCAAGAGCAATGTTTTGTGCGGGGGGATTCCCCGAGAGATCAGCATGGGTCGGGAAGTTGATATTTTAGATTAGATTGATTATTTCATGTTTTGTGTGCATACCACCCACTATTCCGAAATTGAACTTCGTTTTCTTTTAATAACTTCATAGTCTGGTAGAAAAAATATCGATCTCATTCTGTATTTAGGGACCGAATTTGTTCTTTGTCAATCTCAAAAGTTAACGACGATGTAAAAACACAAATATTAAGGTTACGAAGATTGTCTTTTTAAAAATAAATTTACGCACATTGAAGAGTGAAGCCGCATTATTTGAAGCCTGTGGACTGAAGCAAACTGTTCTTGAAAAATGTCTGCACAGAGGACATTTTTTTACGTTGCTACATTTGAGATTGTTTTTCTTCTAAGGTAAACCAGCGAGTGTTTCATAAATTGGTGACATATTACAACATATTGATTACCATATCTTCTCCCAGTACCTCAAATAAATATTTCAATAAATGGCGCCACACTGTAGATTTTCGCGAGCTAAGCCTAAAAATAATGTAACATTGAAAAGACCTTATCTTAATTTTTTATATTCCACAAAAAGACCCTCGCAGATCTTGAAAAAATGATCTGAAGAAATACGTTGCAATGTTTTAATTGCTGTGAGAATATTACGAGCACATGTCCCAGCGTTTCGAATTAGCACTAAAACAATAAAAACATGACAAATCGACCTAAGTGGGCTTCTGCTTCTCAGTCGTTTTAACGTGACCATATTTACAAAACAAAAGCTCTTCTGGCACTTTGAGGAACACATTTCTGTAAAGACGCATTTCGGGTGCTTTTCGCTAAGATTTAGTACCGAAAATCCAGTACATAGTGACACACACTCAGGCAATCGGTACATATTTGCAGAGAAAGCGATGAAATAAAATGCTCCAACACGGCCATAGGACCTCGGAAAATAAAGCATGGGCACCTGAAGAGGTCTCCTCCATTCTTCATTCTTAAGCTGAGGAATGCGTTCAACGAAAGACATGTTGTGTTCAAAACATTGCACGTTTCCCAAATCACAGACAGCGGGGTTGACCCTAAGAAAACACGACCATGATCTGTAACGTTAAATAGGCTTAACTAAACACCTGGCACACCTGGCAACAATACGCACTAAAGCAATCCTAAAATAACGAATTGCTTCTAGGTCATCGGCTTTGCGTAGAACATTTTGACATTATTCAGCCATATGGCCTTCTGCGCCATCTTTTCGGATGCCGGCTTAATCACAACCGAGCTCAAAAACCAAGTGAGGTTTCCTGCTTCGTTAGTGTTAACTAATATATGTTCAAAATGCAGATTTTTACCGCTTCTTAGAGTTGAAGCCACATGATATCAAACATTGCCATCAAGAGGGGGCAAGCGCTTAATTGTGGAGTAGGCAACCGGCGGATGAAAATGATAAACCGTTTTCGGGTTCAGCCAGTGGCAGCAGTCTTACTTGAAATCGATATGCTTTATGCTTTGGCTGTGGCTTTCGCAGCCTATTCCCATTTAAGTGTACTGAGCCAATGCGTTGAAAACATATGACTGTCATAGCTGCCTCATGCGAGAACGTCGGTAACCAAGGTGGCAATAAGAGGGGGATCTCAAGCCCCGAAATTGAGAGAAAATTTGCGTATTTTAGAAGGCCGTGCTCAATGATCATTTTCATTTATTAAAAATGCCTTTTCTTTGCGAATATGTTCACGTTCAAACAACTCGGAAGCTCAAGCCAACTTTTTTAGGTTCATTTGTCATGTGTTTATTGTCTTAGTGCAAACTCGAAAAGCTGGAACTCGTACCCGTAATATTCTCGCTGAAAGTAACATAATTCAACAAGTTTCCTCATAGTATGTTTTTCCAGGATTTGTGAAGATCTTTTTGAGAGATTATATGAAAAATTTAGGCTGACTTTTTTTATTCTCAATTTTTCAATAGGCTTAACTGTTCACAAACTTGAAAGTCTCAGGCTATTTATTGAAATATTTTTGAAGTACAGCAACGGTATTGGCAGACAATATTGCAAACATTATGTTGTAATAGGTTACCAAGTTATGAAACACTCACTGGTATGCCCTAAGAGGAAAAAATTTAAAATCTAGCAACAGTATTACATCTGACGTGTTCAGACATTTTTCAAAAAAAACAGTTTGCTTCGGCCCACAGGCTTCAAACAATGCTGCTTCACTCTTCATTACGCGTACGTTTTTTTAAAGAAGATTCTCTTCGTAACTTAAACGTTTGTGTTTTGATATCGTCGTTAACCTTCGAGGACGACAAAGAAGGAAATTTGTCTCTATTTATAGAATAAGTTCAATTTTTTCCTCCTAAATTATGCAGTTAGTAAAAAACGAAGTTCAAAACTTTCGGGCTACTGGGTAGTATATGCACAAAATTTTTAAATAATCAATCAAATCTGAAATGTAAACTTTCGGACCCATGTCGACCCAACAACGAAAAAGATGACCTGTCAGTTTTTTTCTTTTTTTGTGGTGGGCCACCGCGTGAACAACACATAACCCCAGTTAAACATAAACGCCCACGCTCTTATGAAGCGTCGCTCTTCCCACGACTCCATAGATGCAGTATATTTACATTGAAACGAGCGTATTTAGGGAGCTCCATGTGTGACAAGTTAGGACTCACCAAGAATAGTTACAGGTAATCTTTTTTTTCCTTTTTGTTAGCACGAACATCCAGCATCAGTTGCAACGAGTTCCAGCAGAAAGGAGGAATTGTCGTTGAACTCATCTGCTGGTGTCGCGCTTCGTCTGGGCGAGACGGGTAGGCGGTATATTTGCTGTTTATGACAAGGTGTGCCGCGATGTCTGACTATCTATTCTTGTGCTATACGTCATGTCCGCAATAAACGTTTCATTTCCCAATTCTTCGTTGAACTTTATGGTTGAAAACAAGAAGACTAATTGCAGACAACGAACATATAAGCTAGAAAGCACCGGCACCACGGCATTTATTTCTGCCACCACTAGCCTCCCTGGAGGCACCACAATGTTATAGACACTTAGGAACATGCAAACGCGCAATCGTATGACAAATGTAGAGAAGGCAAGAACGAGCAAATAAAACAAAGAATAAAAGACAATACCAACATGTTCTCAGTGTTTTGAAAACACGCATGTGCGTATGCTTTACCTAAAAACATGGCTTAAAAAGCACCTAATTTTCGCCATGATAAAAAAAAAACGAAATGTGTGTTAGGCCTAGACACGGGTGTTTTGACAATTGAAGGGAATAGAAGGAGGTAATACACAATCTGCACCATGGCCAGTAAGTATGTCGAATCAGCGCAAGGACAAACGCAAAAGGAGGCAGAGAAAGAAAGCGTTGCCCTACGTTTACTAGAATGATTTTAATTTGCCTAGTACAATAGTTTTATACTGAAACACGTGTTTTTCTGCTGATGACATGCCGAAAAATTTCAATCAGTCGGTAAATCATGTAAATAATAACTGGTTGAAGCTATCAGCTTTCCCCAAGCACACAAATTTAATGAAAAATAATGTAGTATTTATGCTCACGCAGGGCAGTCTTTAAGTTCTAGCTTTCATCGCATGTTTTTAAAATGTTTTAGAACAAAGGAAATGTTATTTGCAAGCCACAATACGGCAAAATGGGCACGTTTTGAAGCAGAGAATATAATAATTGCAATCCACGATAAGACAGAATGAGTCCGTGACTAAGCGCCGTTCTATCAACCGAAGTAATATCGTTTATGCGTCCTGCCTGTTAAAGGGCCCGAGTAGGTAACACAAGTCACCACAGATATCCAACGGAATGCAGCATTGACTGACAAGGCTGGCTTTAAAAGAAGTTCGCTTATGAGAGCCATTGTAACAACGTTTGAGTTGCAAGAGAAGAGTACGACGATGTTACAGTGCGCATATGACGACTGACATCGCATTGTAATTACTAAAACATCATTTTCCCCCACAAATCTTATAAACTTGAGCTCGATCTGCCGTTTGAGAGTCTGTCCTGATATTTAAGAGAATACATACTTAAAAAAAACTCTTCAAAAACGCCCACAAAAAATATAACTTCGCGCAAAGTGGAAATAATGAGCATGGTTAGGGGCCATACATGAAGTAGAAAAGCAAATAAAAATTCAGCAGATCCCACGTACCTTGGTAATCGACATTATGCGAAGCATGCAAAAGGAAAGTGAGCGTGTCGAAATTTTTTATATTAAGCGACACGTCATGAAATGACGCTAAATACATGTACAGTGTTGCACGCACAGACATATCTTGAAGAGTTGTAGATGTTTACATAACCAGTTTTTTGCACTTGCACAGCGATGTCAAAAGTAACATGTGTATTAGCCACACCAGAAGGCGATATGAAGCTCTGATGCTCGCGAAGAAACTGGCCCTTGACACTGCTACATAAATCAACTTCAGTGCATGACAACTACCCACAATTAATGTTAACCCAACATGACGGCTGTATCAAAGAAGTGCATATGTAATGTTTACAAAAGTGGGTATGCAGCTCTGCAATTTCTATTCACGTTTCACGAAGATTGGAGTCTATTTGAAAAGTAGTTCTGAGACCCGGCGTAGCTCTGTGGTGAAATGCTTCATTGCCACGCAAAATGCCTGGGTTCGATTTGAGCTAGGACTCCAACACTTATTCTCTGCATTCGTCGGGTCGACTGCTACCGATGTCGGGTGTTTCTTAACACTCACGCATTAAAATTGCCCATGACAGTTCTCGTAGTTCCTCACAAGTAGACACTATAGGTATCAATCACATGTGGTACATACACGCATTTCAGTGGCACATACTCGCCCATGTGCATGTGCCACTGTCTGGCGGGAAGTGTTTGACGACGTACGCGACGGCAAGGTGACGTTAATCACGTTTTGACAAGAGCGTCATACTCGTCAAACCATCTTACCCTCCTATGCTAATTTTGGTTCATGCCAAGTTAAGGGGGTGATTACGAGGGCACCCAAACGTTATGAAGCGTGGAAGCTTGGGCAAGTTGGTAGGACATAACCTGTCCTTGTTTTTTCGCTTCCGTAGTTTCGAAGTAACTACTTGTAGGTTGCGCTGTTCCTGAATTCAGTTACACCCAAACGTATGCGGCCAGATAGATAGATAGATAGATAGATAGATAGATAGATATATAGATAGATAGATAGATAGATAGATAGATAGATAGATAGATAGATAGATAGATAGATAGATAGATACGCTTAAAGTCGTTGAAGTTCGCTAAGAAATGCTTCGCATTCAAAAGGAACTACCGCATGTTGCATTCAGGGATCTTGAAGGGAAAGTGCTATAAATGCGAGATCAGGGTGGACTCTGACCGTTGGAAACATGATGAGGGTAGAAACTAATTGAACACCGGGCGAAGGCAGTGAAGGCATGCTCTTTTAGTGCCTCATCTTTGCTATAGCGCGACAGCGTCAAAGAGCTCGTTTCGCACAAATTCCGACGTTGGCATCGGCGTGGGCGTCGTTGGTTGTGGGCTAGGAACATCCTCGCTTTCGTGACAGAAAAATCGACAAAGATACAAATAACAAAAATTTTCGGTTCCGGATACGAATTGAACCCGTGCCGTTTGGGTGGCAAGCAGGAGCCACGTGTCTGCTTGAATATACCGTAAAAAAAGCTCTCTCTGATTGGAAATGCCATGAAAGTGACTTTCATGCATTACAAACACACGCATCCTGTATACGGGCTTCACAATGCGTGTAATATCACAGCACCTGGAAGCTTTAGAATAACGTTTGCAGGTGCTGCGGGCGTTGCCAGCATAGCCTGCGCCTTATAAGTTTTAGAATAGCATTTGCCCTCCTTCAAGTTACAACGCACAATTTCAGTGACACCGTAGCCTCGAAATCAGCGTTGGCGGGCCACGCACGCCGCCCGCTATTTCGAATTTTTTGCTGGCTGGCTGCGAACGTGAACGGCTGCCCACGTCACGACGCATGCAGAGGGGCCACGACCGCACCGCAACGGCTTGCGGTGCGCTACTCTAAAACACCCTATTATTACGTTATACAAGCGCAAATTGCCGCCGGGTGTCAGAAAATGTGATTAGCTCAGACTTCGTGGTTCAAAACTGGCCACACAATACAAAAGGCACGCATGTTACTGCACTGATGATGAAGATGATGAGCCTTCAGCTTTGCTGGCACTCGCCCACAAAGAAGGATCGGCCAAGAACCGGGTGGCAGGATCATCAAGTGTGCTAAGTCAGGCATTCAGGTAGTCTCGTAGCCGTAAAGAATAATAAAAATAGACTAACAGGGTAATCTTTTTGTTGCCATTATGTACGCACACACGGCAGAGTAAACCTCCCTGTGGCTGTAACCTAGTGTAATCCCTTCGAAGGATAAAATTACTTCCATGTTTATTTTAAAACCTAGCTTCTCAGTTGATTCGACCAGGTATCTTTTCCTTTGATGGGAATATCGTAGACAAGATAAAAAGAAATGATCTATTAATTCTGATTCCTTGCAAAAGAGACATAACGGAGATGCTGATAGTCCTGCTTTATGCAGGTAGTAATTCAGGTGCGGAATTCTGCATCGTAATCTGGTGATTGTAATTTTTAACTGCCGAGATACACACCACTGTTTGTTCCCACAAAATCTTAAATGCACGAAGTCTCTGACTTTATCCAAAGATAATTTTTCTATTTCCTTGTGAAAACAAGCATTTATATGTCTGAGTGCTGTTACATAGGCGAAATCAGGTAAAATAGGTAAAAGTTGTCCGCTTAAAGATGCTTTGGCTAATGAGTCTGCCACCTCACTTGGATAAATTCCGCAGTGGCCAGGCATCCTTAGCAAGTGAAAATTTTTCATGTTTGTTGATAATAAACTGCTAATCATAATAAATAATGTCAAATGTGTTACTGTACATAGTGCAGTGCATACTGAGAGAGAATCGGTAAGCATGACCGCTTCTCATTCGCTTGCAGGAAGTTTACGAAGCGCTAGAATTATAGCAAATAATTCAGCGATGAATGTAGGCGTGTAGTCTGTTAATCGAACTGTAAAAGACCAATCGAGAGAAGTACAGAAGATGCCTACTCCAGTCTTTTTGTTCAATACGAATGCATCCGTCGCAATAATGTTGTTTATGGACAGATGAGTCAAGTAATCTTGTAACCGATTATTTAAATATCGAAGGGGCAGTTGTTTCGCATTAGAGGGGAAAATATCATCAAATTTAATTTCAAGTTTTGAATAAGGCTTGTTCGTTATGGCAATCTGATAAATATTTACATAGAGAGGCTCTAGCAGCACTTGGATGAACCTAATATGAGGGGAGTGTAGTCTAGACCATTGTGTTCCAAAGCACTGTTCCCTCCAGACTACGTAGTGCATGCATAAAAAAGTTTGAAAAGATTCCATGCGCACGCGCTCGATTCCTCCTGATTTAAAGCATGCCCCCTATTGCACAGAATGCTGTCATATGCAAAAGCTTTATTGAGACATGCCACTTTCAACTTTATATTGTAGTAAGCCACAATTTAAACTTTTTGGGTAGCATCATGCAATAAGAAAACAAGCACATACATATGAGAATTGTGATAATGTTAGAGTTTATATTGTAAGATTTTCATAACGGCGACATATACGAAAATTTATTGCTCTTAAAAAATTGAAAAAACTCAGAAAACGTATTTTACAGAAAACTCTCATGCAGAAAAAAATTAAATACATAAACTCTTGATACATATTTTGACGATAGTTTTTATTATTACAAACTGGCCTTCCCTTTCGACGTCCTTTCGACCTTTTCTTAAAGCCAGCCATGTCCAATGCTAGCTTTTTTGAGTAGTTGTTTCCATTTACCCCACCGTTCTCCTTTAATGCATTGTCTCCTTCATAGGTTCCGG